GTATTATTGCTACAATTATATTATTATATGTAGCATATTAATATGTTAATAATAGAAAATTTAGCTTTTGATTTTTTTAAGAAAATCAAAATTATTTTGCAAAATATTTTTTAATAACGTAAGGTACGACCTCCGCACGTTTAAGCTACACAAACGCTCCTAAATCAGAATGTTACGCGGTGCTCGGCAGCCCAGCCTCTATAGCGTTTTCCACTGGGAAAACTGGTGCAACACTGAGTGCAATTGTGTTGTTCCACTGTGAAAACTATAGTTTTCACAGTGGAACAACACAATTGCACTCAGTGCGCACCAGTGTTGCACCAGTTTTCCCAGTGGAAAACGCTATAAGTGTCTCGAGTGATAGTGGGGTCGCTCGCCGGAATCGGCTCGAAATGTGCATCTAATGCCGAGTACTAATTTAAAGAAATCAATTAACAGATGATGGTACAAGTTCCCATAAATTCTGTAATGTGCTGCCTTCTCTTGGCTCTTCCGTCGCAAGTCCTAAATAAATCGAATAATTTGGCTTTCTTTGACTTGTTTCTCTTTCAGAGAAATAATAACCAAATATATTTGATATTTCAGCTTGATTATCTTGTATCTCAGTGAAGTGTTCTACACTAATTTCTTCTTGCACAGGTGCCTGTAATGGCAAGGATACTTGATCACTGTTATGTTGGGCAAAATTTATTGATAACTAAATTTTAAATAATCTATAAGATTTTACAAGCTTTAAAAAAAACATTTTAAGACAAAAAATTTAAGATACAATTAAAATTTAATTGTAATCAGGTTATGAGCAAAGAGAAAAAATAACATTCAAACATTTGATTAATTTACTTTTGACTAACAATAAAACGAACTTCAGCTTCTCTATGATATCGATAAAATATAATATATCCCAGTAAACGAGAATGGATTGAAATGAATTCAAATTTTCAGAAGTACACATTCGCGAACATTAAAATAAATATTTTTTAATCCAAATTTTTATTCATTCATAGGAACGGCATGAAGCATATTTTATTCAAAAGGATTCAAGAGAATGAAATAATGAGAACTAAATAGGTAAGACTAAAAAAAAAAAGAATAATATAAAGAGAGAATAAAACTAAACAAAAATTTTTTTTTTATTTAATTGGATTCAATGAGCTTAAAATACGCGTAAAAATTTCAATCCATTTTAATCCATTCTCGATTACTGGGATATTAATTTCAATATCAAAATACCTGATGCTCAAATGTATATTCCACACCAAAAATAGGAAATTTTTCAAATTCTGAACGGAGTATCGATACTTCTTTGTATGTAATGTGAAGCTGTTGCAAGGGATTAACGCGAAAACCTAAGATGTATCCTCCACTGGCTTCTGTACTTAAAATTACTAAAGTTGGTCCAAATTTCGATGTCCTTATAGTAATCTACAAAAAATTTATTCATATGGTACATACATACTATTTTTCATATTTCGTAAATTTTTTGTTATTAAAAACATTAAATGTAACATATAAGATGTATGTATAAAAGTACAAGACGTCTCTAGATATAATTAAACGTCATTTTAAATCATTGCTAAACAATATTACCATAATTAGTCATTAGAAATCGTTAGAAAACGTGAAAATGTAACAAAATTTTCATCACTTTTATGTTAAAATTTGCTACAGCAAAAGGAAAAACTTTTTCAATTTGTCAAAGTCATATTAACGTTATCTATATATTTATAAACAAAATTATATGAATTTGTATAGATAAATCAATTTCTCTTCGTATCCTATATTAAAATTGGCATGTCACGTTTTTTTGAAGCCTCTTTTCAAAGGGATGTTGAAGTACTCCGATTTCAATGTGGCTTCGTATTCGGGGGTTTTAAGGGTCGCTCGTTCCGAAATAGTGATAAAAATTTCGAAATTCAAAATGGCTGAATCATTATGGTGGACGGAGATGTTATGGAAATTTTAAAGATTTTTCGATTATGATGTAATTTGTTTTTAGGGAGATCGTGGCATCGTTCATTTCGATCTTGTTCAAAATTTGAGAATTCAAAATGGTTGAACAAAATGGCAGGCGGAAATGTTACGGAAATCTAAAAGATTTACCGTTTGTGGTGGAATTTGGTATTAGAGGGTTTATTAGAGGGGACGCTCGTTCCGAAAACGTATTTTAAATTTGGAAATTCAAAATGGTTGAACTAATATGGCAGACGGTAATGTTACGGAAATGTAAAAGGTTCTTCAATTTTGGTGAAATTTGATAGGAAGGAAGGATTATATTTAGGGAAATGTTGGTAGAGGTAGTATGGAGGGAGTGGGAAGGGGAACAAGAGTATGAAGGAAACGGAAGGAAGAATAAGGGAAGTTTTGAGAAATACGGAAAAGGAGAGGGGTAAGGAAAGGAAGGGAATGGGATGGTGGGATAGGGAATGAGAAAAGGAGGGAGGGAGAGGGGTATTAAGGAGGGATGATCCCGATTGATCATGGCTCGATTGGACACTACCAATCACAGCGACCAGGTGCCTAGGAACTTTATAGTCTCAAGCGCTGTGAGTGACTCGCGTCCAATTGAGCCGTGTCCAACTGGGAAACACACATTAATGGAGTGGAGGAAAGGTAATGGGGGGAGGAGGGGGGGCAGGAATACAGGAAAGAAAAAAGGGAATATAAGGAGCTGTGTGAGGCAAAGAAAAAAGGAGAATGAGAGATGGGAAAAGAAAGTGGAAGGAGCGCAGAGTGAGAGGCGGTGTGAGAAACAGTGAACAGGGAAAGGAAGAGATGGAAGGGGATAAATAAGGAGATAGGGATGAGGAAATGGAGGTATATTTCAAAGATTTGTTGGGAATTTTAAACGACTTAGGTTTGAATACAACTATTCGCTCCAAGAGGGAAATGCCTTAAGGGTTGCAGCGCAAAAATAAAAAATGCTTCGAAATAGTAACACATAAATAGCGCACAAATCCTATGTATTTAATTTTCCAAATCGATTGTATTTAACGGGTGGGGGGGTTGACTGCCTACTCAACCCCACACAAAAAATTTTTTTCTTAACCAAACGGAATGGGCGAAAAATTTTCTTTTACGCATATGGATAGCGCATAAATAGAGCATTATTCAATAATTTTGTCATTAAGATTTGGTTAAGTGGAGGAGCCAACTAGGCAGACGTTAAGAGACGTCAATTTAGCGGGCCCTCGACCTTCCCTTATTAATCAAAACTTAATAAAAAAATTATGGAATAATGCGCTATTTATGCGCTACCCATACCCGCAAAAAAACATTATTGCGCTCATTTCGTTTAGATAAATATAAAATTTTGGTGGGGGACTGAGTATGCAGTCAGTCAACCCACACACCCGTTAAAAACAACCGATTTGGAAAATTAAATACACAGGATTTATGCGCTATTTATGCGCTACCTGTATCCGTAAAGAACAATTTTTGCGCTCATTCCGTTCAGCTAAAAAAAAATTTTTTTCTGGGGGGACTGAGTATGCAGTCAGTCAGCCCACCCACCCGTTAAAAACAACCGATTTAGAAAATTATTTAATACACCGGATTTATCTGCTACTTAGGCGTCGTCTACAATACACGGAGTAAGAAGTAAGAGTAAGAAATTGATCAATCACAGTCGAATGTGAGAAGAATAATCAACTGTGATTGGTCAATTTCTTACTCTTACTTCTTACTCCGTGTATTGTAGACGACGCCTTATGCGCTACCTATATCCGTAAAGAAAAATTTTTGGGCCCATTCCGTTTAGCTAAAAAAAAATTTTTTGTGGGGGGGACTGAGTATGCAGTCAGTCAGCCCACTCACCCATTCAAAACAACCGATTTGGAAAATTAAATACACAAGATTTATGCGCTATTTATGCGCTACCTATGTCCGTAAAGAACAATTTTTGCGCTCATTCCGTTTAGCTAAAAAAAAATTTTTTCTGCGGGGACTGTGTATGCAGTCAGTCAGCCCACCCACCCGTTCAAAACAACCGATTTAGAAAATTGAATACACAGGATTTATGCGCTATTTATACGCTACTATTTCCAGGCATTTTTGGTTTTTGCTCTGCAACACTTAAGGCGCTTCTTTCTTGGAGCGGACAGTCATATTCACCCCTAAGTCACGTGTGCCTAGCTGGCCCCCGCCACTTACCCAAATCTTAAAGAAAAAATTATGGAATAATGCGCTGTTTATGCTCTATATCCGCAAAAAAAATTTTTGCGCTCATTCCGTTCGAATGCGAGCATTCGTGAGAAAATAATGAGCAAACGAATGCAGAAAAAAATTTTCGATCTTTTAATATTGGGGGCTAGCGTGATGTCGACCCCCTAAAATTTATATTTCGTGTAACTTTTGAACTAAGGGTGAGCAAACGAAAATTCCTGCGGAACAATCGTTTGCAAACGACGAGCAAACGAATGCAAAAAAATATTCGATTTTTTAATATTGGGGGACTAGTGTGAAGTTGGCCCCCCAAAATTTAAATTTCGTATAACATTTGAACTAAGGATGAGCAAATGAAAATTCGACAGAGCAATCGTAAATGATAAGCAAACGAATACAAAAGAAATATTCGATTTCACTATTCGAAAACACGAACCGAACGAATCCAACACACCCGGTGAGCTCGGGCGCCAGGTGTCTTTCTTTGGTCAGGTTGATGTTCAAATGAAACATCGCCTGGCAGAAGGTGTACGAAGATTTTCTCCTCTAATGTAAAATAAAAAAAATGAAGCAACATGTAACATTAGCGTTCGATAATAAATAATTTTATTATAAAATTGTTATGGTATTTGACTAAAGAATTGCATCCGCCATATTGTGATTCAACCACTTTAAATTTTCAAATTTTCAAACCGCCATAATGATTCGGTCATTTTTCTTATTCAAACATTTTGAATCCAGATTCGTAAAATTATATTTCATAATGTCTAAAAAGGATAGTATAATAGAGGAGCGCGCGCGTAGCGCGCGCAGGGGATGTGCTAGTTATGCACATAAAAAATAAATAACGTTATGTGACATACTTGAATCATCATCATTATTATTAAGGCGCAGGTACAATAGGAATTCATAACGGGGGTTGCCAGATATAATATATAATACGTTAAATCGCATGCAGAGCGCGCTTAAGTCGCCCAAAATCACAAAATACGATAAATGCGCTATTTTTTTTTTAATGAAGCGTTGAAAACGGTGTAGGAAACAAACTAAAATGTAAATTTTATGGTATACGTATATTTTACTATTCTAGAACCAAACACATTGTATATTTCTGATAATCTGAAAATCATTTGTTATATTGTTATTATATGCTATTATATATGTTATTATATTCATAATTTGATACTTACATTTCCGATTGTAAGATAAGGAATCGATACATTAAACTGATAATTTACATCCGCATACCATACCAAACGTATATTTGTTATGATAAAAGTTCCGATATTCCCCTTAAAAGCAATATTTTTTTTATTAACGATAATATATGTAATAATTTAAGGGAAAAATTGCATTTGTAAATGACCAAAATATTTTCTTGTTTAAAATTATTTTCTAAACATTTTTGGCTACATGAAAAGATTTTGCTCGATATATCTAATTTAATATCTAAAACAGAAATTGCACGTAATCAATCTAAATGGTCGTTTTATTCTAAATTGACGATGTTAATCAAATAATATTTATAATTACATATGTTCGTGATTTTGTCGGTTGAGGTAAGTTAATCTTTGATTAACTTACCTCAACCTTTGATTAAGTAAGACTATTCTTTGATTTTTATTAATAACGATTCAATAAAAATATTATAGATTGAGACTTTCGGTTACCAAGCCTATGAACTGTAATGGTCAACAAATTATCAAGGAAAACTCTCACCTCTTCACAGACGTAATCATATAAATAATTATACATCATTTCTGCTGAAGATGGCCCAAACATGGAAACGTTCAGGCTGTTTAAATTATTGTAACAATAGTATGTACATGCCGTTCAAATTATTGTAACATAGTATGTAAGATAATTTTAATTTCTGACACTGCGCAATTATATCTATAAGCGATGACTCCTATTGCCTTTTTATTACTACTTATTATTATTCAAAATTGGAAGAAGTTTAAGATATTTTTTTGAAAAGCTATTCATTACATATAAATTTAAAATATGAAAAATTCTTAAAGACATGAGAATTTTTTTTACCGGGGGTTTGATAGGTAATTAATTATTTAATAGAGACCTGTTCAATAGATAAATTCCAAACATCCTTCACAGAGGAGTGCACCTTTTCTTGAGGTAATAAAACCAGCCGATTTTCACGTATAATGCCACTCCTCAATTTAATTTCTCTATAGATTTTCGATGACACATAAGCTCTATAACAAATACTTTGCATGAACAATTACCATCGTTACGGCAGTAACTGCAGTATAATAAAAAAATGTTCATCACCTATAAACACCTATAACCGAAGTGTAGTGTCTCGTACTTTTAGTGTCGTGATTCGTAAATATGAATTCATATCGACAATTTCGAAACGAAGTTAATATGTAAAGAGCTTGTACATATACACCATGAATCTAAAAAATAAACTTTTGTTTATTATTTTTATTTTAACAATAGGGAGTTTGCACGAAAAAAATTATAAATTTTTTTTTTGTTTATTATGGAAATATGCATTGTTATAAATTTATGTATAATAAAATTTATAATTTTTAGCAATAGGTAAGTACTAAAATACTAAGATAAAGTTTAATAATATTTTAAATTTGAGAAAACAATTTTAATTGACTAAGAAGTACGTGACGCAACTCATGGTTTCTTCACCATGACAATGCTCCTGTCCACTCAGCCTTGTCAATTCGCAAATTTTG